CCGGCCAGAACAGCACAGGTATATTATGTTGCTTTAGGTATGGTAGCAGCCGCTTTTCCAGCACTCCTGGACGTAGATCTCTTGATTGATGGTTCCCGAAGTAATGAAAATGCCGCTTCTTAGACCACACGTGCATATGGCCTGCCAGACGACATATTTTTTTTCGAGAACTTCGATAGTTTGTTGGTTTTGAAAATTTCAGCCACCTTCTCTTTTCCTGATGCGGTATAAAACTTCTGTCTCGGAGTTTGCTTGAAATCCGTCTTCACATAAGTTTCGTCGTCCATGACCACACAGTCGAACTTTGTGAGCAGATTAGTATACAGCTTTCGGGACCGCTGCATTGCCGACGTGTTTTGTTTGTAATCTCGCTTCGCCACCTTCACCTTCTTAAACGTCGACAACCCGTCTCATTTCTTGGCCCACTGTACAGTAGTATGGGAGATATTGAGCTTGCCAGCGACGTCCCGAAAGGAGAGGTTAGGATTCCGCTTGTATTTCACCGCCACCTTCTACGTCGTCGGTGCCACGTCCGGATTACGATTGTCGTCGCTTCCAGGTTTGCTTCCGGTCGACAGACGCTCCCCGAACACTTTTATAACGTTTGTCACGGTCGATTTGGCCACATCCAGCAATTTTGCCAACTTGGCGTGTGAGAACGTCGGATTCTCTTGCTGCGCGAGCAAAATTTTGTCACGCTGCTCCTCTTGCTTGGACGTCATTTTGAAAACTGGAGAGCAAACGGTGAAAACTCATCATAGCAACCATTGTATATACACTCAACTTCCAAATGCAGCATTTCAGGTTTTTTATGCATTTTTAACTGAAATACACCAATTTGCAGTTGACCAATTTTTGCGCGTTCCAGACTTTATAACCGTAGTATTACATGCTTCGGTGTATAAAATCTCATGGCGCCCAAGTCATCAATCATTTCAATGTTCCAATTGGTCAGCTTTCCGAAGAGGCTCAGCTGCCAAGGACATTTTCATTGTCAGTCGTCAAGGACATTTTCATTGAAAAATTTATGATCTTTCTGAAAAAAATCTTCTTGGAACTGGAGAATCATGGAAGGGCCAAATATTACCAATATTTTCAAAAATTTAACATAAAAAACAAGGTTTTAATATCATAGGCTAAGCTTTGAACCTCCTGGACTTCAAAATTCGTAATCCAAGATCTTGGTAAACTTACCTTGAATATGAGACTTACAGCTTTTTTCGAAAGGAAAATTCTTCAAGATAATAAAGTAAGAAAAAATTAAGATTTAAAAATTTCGAAAAATCTTGACTACTGGAGAAATTATGAAATATCAGGTTATAATTTGTTATGCTTCTGAAAATTTGAAGAAAATCATAGTAAGAAAGCATTAATCCAGGACAATTTATGATTCGTGGCGTCGGACTAACTATCATTCGGAGCTATATACATATATAAAAACAAAATTTTACTTTAATTCCAATCGAAAGGAATGCACTCGAAACTTGAATGATTGTGTCCCTGTTTGTAAGTAGATAATAATTGTATTTATTTTAACAGAAGCATTGGGATTTATTTTTTTAATTTTAAAGGGAGTTAGTTTTGATTAATCCCATTCGGAACTAATTTATAATTTACACGAGCCTTTTTAACCGGCGCCGGTGGTGCCCAGTCAAGGTAGGTGGGATTTTTCTGAGGCATAAAAATCTCTGGTCATGTCTTCCTTCGGAAGGGAAGTAAAGCCGTTGGTCCCGGCCCATGTGTGTTAAATGGGTGCGATATCCTACGCAAGTGTGGAAGCTGCCTTCCTGCACATTCGATTGCCGTCAATGGATGGCAATCGATGTCCGTCGGTATTTGGCACTAGATTGCGGAACAGAGATCGACGTTAAATAAAGGAAAGAAGAAGACGAGCCTTTTTAGTTTTCTTGATTTATTTAATCAAAAAACGCACTAAATTTTGTATGTGCTAAAACATTCAAACTATTCTGCAGCAGAATTCAAGGCATAAATTTCATCGAAAGGAAAGAAATTTTTATATATTGGGCATATATAGAAATTTCCATCTCTTCGTTGAAGTTTATACCGGGAATTCAGCTAATTTTTCTCCTTCAGTGCTAATTCTTGACAATATAGCTAAATCACCAGGGTACGGGCCTTCCCTATAGAGAATGTATAAGCATGTCCATACAATCTAGATTCATCATTCAAGATTCCATCAGATTCAATTAGTTGGACATCTTGTGAATACCTTCTGAACGACCTACAGTCTTGAAAGAACATTTAATTTTTAAACAGTTGGAGATCCTCAGAACTTGATCAACCTAAAGTATTGGAAAAATATCCGGAGAACTTTACTAATATCTTCTTCTAAATGGAGATCTTTTGAATATTTTCTGCTGTCTAGAAAGAATGTCTGAAATAATATCCTGTAACTTATGCAACGTTTCCTGAACACCTACAAAACTCCCTTCAATTTTTCAAAATTTCCTCAACTTCTACTCTCTATTCCAAGTTCCATATTTTTTTTATTCTCTCTTAATTTTACGAAGATCTCTGAACATCTTTGCTCTTCTGAAAAGACACCTATCATCTACAAATAATCTTGAACATCTGGAAAGTTCCTTCAAATTAAACGAAGTATCCAAAACCTCCAAGAAGTTCATGGAGCTTTTTTGAAGTAAGATCTCTGACAAACTGCAACGAAGTTTCCTAAACTGAAGTGAGGATCCTTGAAGTTCTTAGAAGTTTATTAAACTATTTTAGATCTTTTACAAAATTCCCTGAACTTTTTCAAATTCATTACATTTATAGTAATTTCTACAACTATTCCATGAGGCTTCAAAAAAGTGCCCTGAAATTATATAGAGGTTCCCGAACAATAATGAGCTTCCCTGAAATAAAACAATGTTCCCGTAACTTCTACGAAGCTCCTCAAACTTAAATAAATTTTCAACTTTTACGCAGTTTTCAGAACTTTTCCAGGTTCCTTATATCTACGAATTTTTCTGAAGATCTATGAAGTTTCCAGAATTTCTACTATTTTTTCTCATTTTCTACGATGTTCCCTGAACTACTTTGAAGTCCTTGTAGTTTTACGAAGTTCTCAGAAGATAAATAAATAACCCTGGGCTCATGGCCAATTTGTAGAACATGAAGACGTCTTATTATGCCATCGATTAAATATCAATATAATATAATTTCTCAACATTGCTTCTTCTAGTCCAGAACATACAATAATTACAAAAATTGACAAAATACCAGTGAGTCAAAAAGAAACACCAAAAATGGGGGGGGGGCTTGATAATATAGGAGGGGCCTGGCCCCATTAGCTACACCAATGCTCAAACACTACTATAGTTCTTCCGCAAACCTTGTGTGTTATCAGTCTATAGCCCTCTATCCTCCTGTTTTAAGTAATTTTGCCAAACAAAAACTGATTTTCGGCTCCGTAAAGCTACTGCGAACAAGCCTGGACAAATAAAAGAACAATAAAAAAAACTTGACAGTTAAATTTGTAGAAAATACATCCCGTGCCAGTCGTGTAAACTAGGTGATTTCAGCACATATCGCTAGATCGCTTTGCAATGGTCCGCTCTGGGAGTTTAAATATAAACAGCTACAACTTTCTTTTAAGTTGAACAAACTTTCGAGATCTGGCCATATAGAAGAATTAAACTATCACTTGTTTTGAACTCATTTGAGGTAAGAACTCATCTGGGGTAGTCCGGGTTGACATTTTCGAGCCATTTGAAAATTGTATGTTTTTCATCATTTTGGAGCAAATTTGGAAGATTTAGCAAACATTGTTTTTTATTGTTCCTATTTGCATAATATCACTCAAAACAGCAGTAAATAATTATGGCTCGGTTTTTGACCTAGTTACTCGACTGTGCTATGGGGCGATTAAAATATAACATCCACAGGACTTCCGTTTTTTTATCTGTCTCACGTTTTTCCCATATACCTATTAGGCTGGGTTTAAACAAGGGGGCGACCCCGGCGTAGTGGTTAGCATCCATACCTCTCACGCCAAAGTAACAAGCTCAAATCTAACCCCCGGATAAGTCACGAATGAACTTATAACTTCTTGAGTGACTATAATAATAAAAATAATAAAACATAGGTTTGGACAATCCAGCTTTACACGTACTGTCAACAATTCTAGGATCCACTCCCCTCTCAAAAGTGGCCGTCCTTTGAATCGCTCCCATGACAAAATTAATATTTCACTTGGGATTCAAACACATTGTGTTACCAATCAATTTATTGGCTCATCACGTTATAGTTAATTTTCATGTTATTTTATAAACTGAATGCATATAATGCTTGTAACCGAAAGCGTGTCCAATCGAGGCAGTGGGTCATGTGCACATCATTCATGTGGACATGGTTGATGAAAATGAAGATTAAGGCCAACTATAATTTCAACCAGTCACATGAGTCCTCTCCTAGCCTTACCAATAAAAGCGTGGTTATCAAGCGAAAGCTTGGCGGTGGGTTCCATTCCCGGTTCAGTTTAGGAATAATTCGGGTTTGCATAGACTAGGTAACATTGGAAGAGGCTTAGAATGCGCTCAAATAACAAACTCAACATCAAGTTGAGAGCTTGCATAAAGTTCCAGTTGGGACGTACTATTCATGAAGAAGAAGACGAAGGTAATGAAAGTGAACCGGAAGGGTAAATGTGATTAGATTAATAAATATCTTGTGACCTCCGAAAACTAACTTTGATTTATAAATTGAGGTACCATAGAAGAACATAAAAGGTATACCTATGCGTAAAAATATTTTCAATAAATAATTTCAAATCTACTTCCGTTTGTATAATACGCGTTTCACAGTCTATGATCAGCACTCTCGCGTTGACAGAAGCTCGCAGTGTACCGGGTTTACTGGTGTGACACTAAATACTAAACACAACAAATGCGAATGTGCGCGCCGATAACATTGGACTTGAATTTCTTTCCTCATGTAGATGTACACACGCGGCGCTACCGGCCGACGGACTGGTTTGACGAAGCAACAGTATCAGCTATGGTCTCGAATGAAGCAGTCCTCTGCCCGGTGTACACACCACATTTTTGACGGTCAACGGTGGTCAACATAGCGAGAACAGCCGAAATTATTCAACCGGTCTCGAAGAATTGTTAACGAGCTTTATTTTTGTTGATGCCTGACTGGATACAGAAGGAGCTTTGGATGCTTTGAGATTTTGTTTTTGGTGCCCTATTTCGAGACATAAAACTATGTGGTTCTTGTCCGGATAAACTATTCGACTAGCGGTCAGCGAACTTGACGGAGGGAGAAGATTGAAGAAAAGCGATTAGTTATTTTTGGAAGTGACCAAAGGTGTTGGCTTGTAAAGAATCCTACTTCGGATTGCGTTGGGTGAGGTTATTCGTGTTTGCAAACAATGTGGAAGAAATTTGAAAATTGATGTTCAAGCAAAAATTGGATGGTGTGCAAAGTATAACAGTCAGTTAACGACCTCAGCATTCTAATACACCTCGATAAGAAAATAGTAATCGGTGTTACAATATCGTGTGGACTGCATTGTGCTGTGCTTGTGAGAAAAATCTGATTCACCCGAAATTATTTCAAGTGTTTTGAGCACGTTGGACCGCGAAGATAATAATCGAAAACATACACATCAACCGTCATTACGCAAATTTGCCGATGTTGTACAACTTCAACGTTCAAAATCAGCCGTAGAAAAGTGGAACACCGGCATTGGACTCATGAACACAAATTGTTCGCGATTCAAATAGGCAAACCTAGTTGGCTCAACGCAGCACGCGTTTAGGAAGGAAAAGTAACAAACAGCGTAAGTTCGGTTTTGTGCTTTCTTATATAATAATTGTTTTGATGCCTCTCGTTCACGCGACTTTCTGCTTGGTTGGTACCTTATGGTAAACAACTTGTGATGTTTAAACTTTAAGCTATGTATAGTTGAAAGCTCAGCTCTGCATTGTTTTAGTTGGTGATGGTGATGAAACATAAGTCGACCTTTGCTGAAAATTACATTTGGGAATTTACAAGAATACTTGATTAATTTTTGAATATGCATTATCTCTTTCGACAATCGAAAAATTATTTAACTTGATTCATTTTCTACCGCAACGTAATCGGTATTTTAGCAATATGAAAACATAAACTTTTATACATCAATTTTACTAATCATACAGGTGGCAGCAATATGCAGAAGAAATAATAAATCGATGAAAGGAGAAGTAGTATAGTGAAGTAGTTTTCTTAATTATCAATAGTAGGAGGAATAGTGTTGATTCAATAATTCATCGTCTCATACCTACAATTATTTTAGAAGTTAATTTAGCAAGACATAAAGGGTGTCCACAGTTAAATTGCATCAATTAGAAATACTCGCCAAAAATAAATCTGTCAATCGGTTGTCATGAAACTTTCAGGGAATATAATACTATATATAAGCTTAGTTTAAGTATCTTTATGTAGCGGCGCCAGTGGTGTAGTGGTAAGCGTGATAACCTCTCACCCCAGCAGGCCTGGGTTCAATCCCAGTCAGTGCCGCCGGGATGTTCTGAGGCTAAACATCTCTGATCACGCCTTCTTTCGATTCATGAGTTGTTGGGTCGATAGGTAGGGTCCAGGTGTGGGAGCTGCCTCCCTGGTGTTGGTAGCATTGGTGCTCAGCACGGAAAACATGATCGACGGAAAACAAATCAAGGAAAAAATAGTATCTTTATTTCACTCTATTTCTTCACCAAATCCAAATGCCCGAACTTTCTTCTTAATTTCACCAATTTCTAGATCTGCCCAGAAATTGTAGGAACCTTGTGTGATTTGAGGAACGGAACCAGTCGTTTTTAATGCACTCAATCATGTAGACTTGGCCATTTACGCTTGTAGTTGTTACGAAAGGCTTGCTCCGTTTTCCGCACGAAAAAATCGTCTGTCAAATCATTAATTTCTTGGGGAACTTCGATACTTGCTGTTTCTTGAGGGACTCTGAAACATCAAACTTGTCTTTCGCAGTCACATAATGGTTTAGCGGAATTTGTTTGAAGTCCACTTTTACGTATGTTTCATCGTACATGATGATAGCGGTGCCGATGGTGTAGTGGTAAGCGTGATTGCCTCTCACCCCAAAAGGCCTGGGTTCAATCCCAGTAGGCGCCGCCGGGATTTTCAGAGGCATAACATCTGTGATCACGCCTTCCTTCAGCTTCTTGATCCCTGGTTCATGAGTTTGATGGGTCGATAGGTAGGGTCCAGGAGTGAGAACTTTTTGTCAGGTGTGGATTTTTCGTGACATCCCGAACGGTATTATTTTTGTTTGCATTTGAAGGCAGCAACCACTTTCTTGTGATCTTCAACACAGTACGGAACACTTTTTCTTGCACTCACTTGCTTCCGATCGACAGTTTAACCGTTAAACGTTCTCTGAAACGTTTTTACACGAGAAACAGTAAATTTTTGGACTCCCAACATCTTTCCAATGGCCCAGTGCGAAAGATAAGGGTTTTTGAGCTGAGTGTGCAAAATTTTCGCGCGCACGCGCTGTACCTTCAACTCTAGTTCATAAACTGCTAGAAATTTCACAATAAAACTCAATGAGCTGGATTACCGAGGTGAAGCAATCTTTTAAGTTGTGTGAGTAAAACCACTGTAAGATACAAGCAATTAATGACGTCACTAATTGAGTTTACGTTGATTTTTTAGTTTACTAAAACAACCATATTTCACGATCTGCTCCCCTCTCTCTGTACCTCATTGAATAAAACTCACGCAGTGTAAATAATACACGGTGAGGCCATCCCACCCAAAATTTAATTAAAACTAATCCAAAATGCAAAATGTTACAGCTTTTTTAAAGTGATGCAATTTAACTGTGGACACCCTTTATTTAGTACAACAATAGTGAAAAAACCTCATTTTAAGATTTTAAACCATCCAAAGAGTCACAAACAAGTTCTGAAAAGCGATTTTTTTAAATCAATATCGCTTGATTTTTTTTTAGTTTATTAATTTGTCACTAATACATATCCATCAAATTTCCGTAATTTTTTAGGCTGACATGTGTTTACTAATAAGTTCGCCTTGCGCGTTCAGCTTCAATCGAGTTTGAATGGGCAACTTAGTCAAGAAGTTTTGTTATTTAATGTGACACTTACTTTATCAAACATTATAATTTTTTGAATAGCCTCAATTTTTTCTGCATAAAATTCGTTGTCGCTGGATCTATTAAATGAGACCATTTCAGCCCAAATCTCTCCATGAATACAAATTGGAGGCCAACAATATTACGAAATAAACAAAATGTAGTTTGAAACATGTTCATCGAACATACAGCTATTGAAATAAGGAAGATTGGCGAGTTTGGACTGGCTTGGCTTTAATGATGAAACACTGTCTTGGTTTTTTAGGAAACAATCTCATAATATTATTCTAATGCGCAATTTGCGGGCGTCATTTAAAACTGTTCGAATAAAGTGTTTTATCGTCGTTCTAAAAAGTGAGTAGGTCTTGAAAGCCAAACGATGAAGATTCTTCAAGCTGCATTTGGTTTGTTTCTTAATCATTCTGACCTAACACCATCAACAGACATACAAAGCAGTACCATTGGCTCAGGAAGTAAAAGACCTTCGGTATAGGAAAATTCACGAACCTCTCATTTACTAGTAATCTAGTAGCTCAAAAGATCAAGGTACTAGCTTAAAGCAGTATAGTCAACAATCAATACGAAACTAACGATTTTAAATTGGCTCACTACTTGACTAGCCTATTGGTCCCAAGCAAATCGATTAACGTATCCCATTCCAGTCAAAATTCTAGTACAACACTATGTTTGTTTTGATTCGCTATGAAAGTTTGACAGATAAAAATAGGGGTTATTGGATTTTCCTATGTTTAGAGGGGTGATTCGACTAGCTTGGGACCAAAGATAGTACCAGAGCTGAGCCAAAAAGTTGAGCACGTTTCTTCGGGACCTACTTGTCTTAGAGTTACCTCTATGGTATAGTTACCTCTATGGTACAATCGTCATATAAAAAGAAAACTAACGATTGGATGTTGGCTCTGTAAAGTTTATTCGATTGAGCCTGTACAAATAAAGTAATTAACAAAAACAAAATACAATACAATTCATATTGCTGAAGAAAATTGGTCTCATTGCTTAGATGCAGAGACCATGTATTTGATAGCTGATTTTTTATTTTATTTATTTTTATTATAGTCCCTTTATCACATTTTAGAGCATTCGTGACTTATCCGGGATGATGTTTGAACTCATGACCCTTAGTGGATGTATGGATGGTAACCACCAACAAACTATTTTAACTGAAGACTAGCTTATACAAACATATATGTATAAGCAAATTTTTGACAGCATAAGCTTAACTTCAGCAAATTTCCCGAGAATTGGAAAATCTAGAACCTGTTTCTCAGGAATTCCCGGGATTACGGAAATAAGAAAAACAAAATGGTTAAAAATAAATAAAAGAGTTGAAAAGGAAGTTTTTTTTAACAACGCAAACGTTAATAATATTTAACAATAGCGGTTCTCACATATCTTCAATATCCGGTAGAAATTCGATTTACACCGTTCGAAAAATTCATGTAAATTTATGCAAGATATAGCGCACATATTTGGCATAAATTTACGCGATATTTGGTGTAAATTTAGGCACAATATCGCATAAATTACATGATTTAGCTGTTTATGCCAAGTATGGATCAAAATTAAAAGAAGGGAGATTTAACGCGATAAAGGGTGATACGGTCAAAATTTGGTCAAGGGAAAACGCGTGTAAATCGGTGAAATCGTTTATTTAAAAAATCAAATTAAATTTCTTTTTCAAGTTCAATTAGTATAAAATTCAGGAAAAATATTCAGTTAGGCTTCCGCTTTTCCAAATCCGAATGCCGGGCCTTACGCTTGACCCCTGCCATCAGATTTTGTACAGCCACCTTGTCCACCTTCTTCGCCGCAGAAAGCCAGTTTGCCTTGAACTGCTGCTCGCCCTTAGCAGTTTTTTTGGTCTTCTTTAGGTTCCGCTTGACAATAGCCCAGTATTTCTCAATTGGGCGGAGCTCTGGCGTGTTGGGAGGGTTCTTGTCCTTGGGAACCACCTGCACGTTGTTGGCGGCGTACCACTCCATGGCCTTTTTACCGTAATGGCAAGATGCCAAATCCGGCCAAAACAGTACGGAACAACCGTGTTTCTTCAGGAAAGGCAGCAGACGTTTATTCAAACACTCTTTCACGTAAATTTCTTGGTTGACAGTCCCGGAAGCTATGAAAATGCTGCTTTTCAAGCCACAGGTACAGATGGCTTGCCAAACCAGATAATTCTTTGCGAACTTTGACAGTTTCATGTGCTTGAAAACATCTGCTACCTTTCCCCTACCTTTTGCCGTATAAAACTCCTGTCCCGGAAGCTGCTTGTAGTCGGCTTTGACGTAGGTTTCGTCGTCCATTACCACGCAGTCAAACTTCGTCAGCATCGTCGTGTACAGCCTCCGGGATCGCGCTTTGGCCGTCGTATTTTGTTTATCATCGCGATTTGGAGTCACTACCTTCTTGTAAGTCGATAGTCCGGCTCGTTTTTTGGCTCGATGCACGGTTGTAGACGATACACCCAGCTTATTTGCGGCATCTCGGAGAGAGAGGTTAGGGTTTCGCTTGAAACTACCGGCAACTCTCTTTGTCGTCTCAGCGGTTTCCGGTTTTCGATTTCCCCCCGATCCAGACTTCCTGGCTGTCGACAAACGTTCCCCAAACACTTTAATTACATTTGTAACGGTTGATTTGGCAACTTTTAGCGATTTGCCAACTTTGCGTGCGAG